GAGAGTGTTGTGATGGGAATCACAAGTTAGGAAAAGTGAGAGAGAGAGAGAGATGGAAACCTGAGGAGAAACAGGGAGATAGAGACAAACAGACAGAGGTGGGAAAGGCTGACGCGGCACCTAAACAAACCCTCCAGCTGCTGAGTCGCTAATATTTGACATTTCCATCAATACGAGCAACGAAGACGACGAAGAAGAGTCGATCGTGAGGAACAAAAATAGACACCGACGTAAATCTCAGGAAATCCTTAAACATTCTGCACTTTGGCAATAATGAAATCTCATGTTGTTTAATATTAATCCAACATAGTCTAAAGTTTACTCACTCTTCCAAACCCCTCCCTCCCTGACCCCCCCCACACACACACACACACCTCCATCTCATTTATTCACTCACTCCCTTGCCCCCCCGTCTTCATGTCCTCTTTGACTACACCCATTAATCTCCTCGGGGGTCTTTCTCTTTTACGTGCAGCTGGCAGCTTCATCTCCATCATCCGTTATTGACAGCTGCTGAGGCTCATGGGAGTCAGCTAACAGTAAAGTCAGTGCCTCGGTGTTCTACACTCTCCTTCCATTACTGACCACCATAGAAACGATAAAAACCTATAAATTTCACTCTGTTTTAATGCAAAAAATTACATTCAATAAATCTTCATATTTAATGAAATATAATTTTGAAAATTCATCAATTGGGCCAGATTGAAACTTGAAAATTCATCAATTGGGCCAGATTGACACTCCAAGCGGGCCGGTTTTGGCCTGTGGGCCGTATGTTTGACACCCCTGGTGTAGGCAGATCCTAAGCATCCATCCATCCAGGGGCGCCAAATACTATAACACCTTAATTGGACATGAAATCACGTTAACAGGTTCGAGGGACGAACCATTACATTTCAGTTTCAAAGCTCTGCTCACTTTCTGGTCAGTGAACTTAACCTGATGAGCGGTTTGTATTTGAACATTTGAACAACCCCTTCTTAGACTTCCCCCTCACCAAAGTCCCGACTCCTCTAAGGCTGATGAGACCTTCACTCTCTGTGAGGAGGGTCAGGATTTCTGTCATGAAAGAGAAACAATAGATAAAAGATAAACAAACAAACTGAAGTTTCTGGTGTCGTGGGCAGAAAAAAAATGAAAATAAGAAGTGAAAATACAACGAAGACAGATGTGGAGTAATTGGAGGAGGCGTCTGGAGATGCTACGTAACCTTAAGTCTGGTTGTTTAGGCTCTAGACGACTATCAATGTTTAGCTTTAACGTCATTGAGTGTTCGTGCAGCGGTTTAGTGGCAGGAAATTATAACTTTAACGTCATTGAGTGTTCGTGCAGCAGTTTAGTGGCAAAAAAAAAAAGAAGCTGTTCGTCTGGTAATAGACCTGCTGTCGTAATTCAACACACAGATACATTTACTCCACTGTCAAATATCTGATGGATGACGATGACTAATTTAGAGGAATTCTCACTCTGCCAAGTGAGTCTTGTTTTAGGAACGGGAAATTACAGTGTTATCTGTAATTCCCGACCTTTTCTTCCTCTCTCCTCTTCTCTCGGCGCCACCTCTTCCATCATTTTAATCTGCTCCGGCATCCGTCCTGCCTGACGGCTCCTTTACAAGGCCCTGTCCATTTAAAGTGATGGACAGAAGAGAGGACAGGGAGCATTTCTCTGGCAGCTGCTGTTACACTCTGCTGCCAATTGACCTGCTTCTCCGCGCCCACACTCCGTCCTGCTCACCGACAGCTCAGGTCGTATATATTCAACGTAGCAGACACAAACAGACGCGGCGGAGGAGGAGGAGGCATCGGGATTATTATCGTCTCTAACCCAGACCGGTCGTGCCCTTAGCTCATACGACGCATGTACAGAAAGTGTTGGTCAAAAAGTTCTAAGACAGAATTTATTGACTGAAGCGTGGTATGATTTTCTACGTCTCTCAAGATTTATCTTCATCAGATTGTTGGGTTTTTATTTGAGCATTTTTTTATTCTTTATTTCTTTCTCCAAAAACATTTGAACAAAACTCGAGCTCAGTCCGTAGGCCAGGCCAAAGATTTTGACCTGGTTTTTCTCTGGTTCTCTGAGGGAAGCTCTGCAGGTGGAAGTTTTTAGACTTACAGAGAAATATCTTTGTTATTTTCACCATTAGATTATTTTCTCTGTTTTTCTTCGACTTTAAAGCTCGACTTTTGTCCCTGGACTTTTTTACTTTTGCAGTGTAACTCAGCAGTTCCTGAAGTCCTTAAAGGCATCTTGACAACTGGATTCGTTTTTTGATAAGCAACCATAAATATCTGCTTACTGAAACAAAAACTTGTTTTCTTAAATTGTCTTTAAAACCCGACACAGAGTCCTTCTCTTATTTGGTCTTTTCTGTTTTTTGTAGATTCAGTTCTTTGGCGACGACCAGTTGTAGGTTTGGTGTCTCCTCCTCTGCTTCTGTTCCTTTTGGCCACAATTAAATGCTTCAGTTACTCCTTTCCAACTGAATTTGCAAGAGAATTTTCTGAATAATTTTTTGAAGCCCACTGCTGCTGCTGCAGCTGCTGCTGCATTCACTGCTGCTGCTGCTGCAGCTGCTGCTGCAGTCATAGGGTGTCAGACATTTCAGTTCCAAAGAAAACATGACAACTGGAACACACAAAAAGTAAAAGTGTAAAAAAGGGTAAAATTCAGATAAAAACTCTGTTTTACCAGTGTTTAGTTGGATCAGAAATTTCAATGTCAAAATCAAACAACAAAGTCCTGACGGGTGTGTGTAAATGTGTGTGTAGCTCAGGTTTTTATAGTGAAGGACGAAGCAGTTGTTTTGCTCATGATTTTTAGTACAATCATTTTAAAGGGACAGTACAGTAATTCTGTGTCTCATGGCCTTTCAAGTCATCTTCTGTGTCCTGGTGGGTGGTGAGGGTCTCCATAATCACATGTCCAATCAGCAGTCAGCCTGACAGGTTCCTGCTCCGCACATCAACATCCTGCTGTGTCCATCCACCGTCCTCTTCCTCTCCTTCTCCTCCTCACTGTCACGTCTTCACTTCCTTACAAATTCCAATCAGGTCTGATTGACACGCTCTCATTCTCGGAGTCTCCTCCCACTTTGACCTTGGAGTTGCTCTTCAGGTCGAAACCAACGGCCAATAAAATCATTTCACATTAAATCCCTCAATCCTTAAATTCTTCTTGCTCTTCAGTCAAATCTCGATGAAATCAGGAGAAACTAATTATCTGCCGATCCTCTGATAAGATCTCTGCTAAGTTTGGCCTTTGAAGCTTCACACGCCGTTTGAAGATTTTTCAAACTTTTTGATATTAATTGACTTTTTCAAGGTGGTTTCCTTCCTACTGTGAAAATCTAATTGAGGAGCGTATCATTCCTGCCTTCGTCGCCCTCCGCTGGCTGCTCATGGCCGACCAAATCAAATTCTACTCATTAGTGCCTGCCTGCCGAGGTGCTTCTGGCTCTGCACTGGTATTATTGGATCTACAGTAGACATGTATTGGAGCTAATGGAGCTTTTCCATTCATCTGAACATGGGAGTGAGAACGGGGTCCGACGACCCCTGAGAGTCTGTGGTTTCCACACTGGAAACCAGCGCAAATGAGGTGTCGACCAAAGGTTTAAACAATATTTCAAGGAGGATTTTTTTTACTTTTCAATCTTTATCTTAAACTTATTCTATTTTTCTGTCCATTATCTTTGTGCTACTATTACAAAATCAAAAAAGTTCAAAGTCTAGAATATATTAACTAAATACCAAATAGTAATTTTAGATATTAGGTATTTGTAACAGCTAAATACGAATATATTAACTAAATACCAAATAGTATTTTTAGATATTAGGTATAGGTTTTTAACGGCTAAATAACCTTAAAGGTTAACAGTAATCAAAAATTACTTTTTAATGAAAAATCTTTGAAGTGTATGAGTCATCAAAAATGTAATTTTTTTTATTTCTCATAATTATGAGTCATCAAAAATGTAATTTTTTTTTGGAAGCAATTTATTTCTCATAATAAATATCAGCCTTTTTTTCAGAGAATAAAAAAGTATCTTAAAATTTTGCCTTATTTTCTCAATTAATTTTCCTAATTCCTAACTAATTATAAAATATAGTGACTCCCCTGCAGGGGGTGCCATTGTCTGGGTTACAGTGTCTTGGTGCAAATGCTATTTTTTTACCACAGTTTGTGAACCCTTGAAATACCCCGAAGACTTTCCAAAGCTAATTTTTGCACAAAATGTTTAAAATCACACCTTTTGTTCATTAAACACGAATTACTCTGAAAGTATATACTGTTAGTACCACCTTTTCATATACAGTACCTTAATTTTTTTTACGTGTTGTACATTTTCAGCTCATTTTCCAACTCCACACGCGGCCATTCTTTCACATTCACAACCACTTCCCGTCCACTTCACACAAGGTCAGCCTGAGGCGTGTTCAACAGCGTATCGGTATTCATCACGTCTCCATTCACGCTGAGAGCGGAGAGCTGTCGGCGGCGCCGTGTCATCTCGGCAGGTACGCGGCCCTTGGTCTCCGCCCCTGATTCCTGATGGCGTTCATGTCACCGCGTCGTGAATAATCCTGCTCTGAATCTGTTTCTGCGTTTGCGGCGTGTTTTTAGACAAAGGAGGAAGTTAATGTTATTCCTGCACAGGAACAGACAAAGCTGTTTAAAACTGAGTAAACAGGAGGAGGAGGAGGGAGGGGGCAGATGGAGGGACAAAGGTAGAGGATGAGGAAGGCCAGAGAGGGAGGACGGAGGGTTGGGGTGGGGAGAGAGGAGATGTCAGAGTGGTTCACTGCA